TGTAAAGATACAGTATTGGCTTAATTGTTTCTTGTGTAAAAAGGACATTGCAGAGTTCAGTCATATGCCGCAAAAAAGAAAACAGTTAGAATATTGGATCTTTTAACCCTATCTTTACCTTACCCACATAAAAGTCACCACTTATTGTTTTTGGGATATTATATATTATTATGATACTCAGAATTATCTCAGTTTTGGTATAGTCATGGTCATTTACTGTAAATGTTGTATCTTTTTCAACTATCACTTGTTTGCCCCTTTCTATTGCCACCACAGGATGTCTGGGTTCACCGACTTTGCACTTATGTTTGTCATCAAGAAATACAAGCATAGTTATATCATAAAACCTAACAGAAAACTCCTTCTCATACCTAAACAATGCTGAAGTATAATGGGCATCTGGATAATCTGTACGTAATTGTCTAGCTTGTACTATAAATTTTAGAAGCAAGCGACCTGTATATGGTAAGCTATTTTTAAATGTAGATTTTTTAGGTCAAAATTGTAATCTTAGCCATTGTTCACTGGGAATTGGAGTGCCAGATGGGCATTTACGCTCAATTTGTTAACACAAGTCATTTACCAAAATAGCTGTTGCAAGATATACAATCTGATTATGGTGATGCTTATCGACCGCAATAACAAAGTCTGCAGCCTTTCCTGCAAGAAACTTAGTTGTCATGTTCCAAAAAGCTATATACTTTTCAAGTCTTTCTTCATTATAATCACGTAAGTCAATTGTAATATCTGGATCACCAAGCTTTAGAGCAAGTAATACACAAGCATCAACTTTTGCTTCATTAGCAAACTCAGCTGCAGATATATCCTCTGTTAACATTCTATATATTGTTCATAATAGAGCTGCTTTAACTTTTAATAATAAGAGTTCACATATATGAAAATAATTAGCCTTCATGATACAGGTATAATATTGGGGTGTTTGGTCCTATAATTTTTTTACAATATGTGCATTTTCTTGTAACATTTTAGACTCATCAACATTTTCTTCAATTTTCCAAATAGAAATAGTATTGTATGCATTATTACCAGAATTATACTAATATTTGTCAATTTTAAATAAAAATACTTGCAAAAGACCTTGTACAAACTATAATCGTTGCCTAGAGTTAAAGATAAGTAAAATTATGATTTAATAAATATACTTTAATTACACTTAACCTCCTAAAAGCAATTTGTATAATCCAAAACCAAAACTTTGACTTGGACATATATTTTAGAGCCCATATTATTTTACCGACAATCACTTCATATACACCACATTTCACTAAAAATTATTTATCGACAAATTCATTTTATCGACAGTTTATTTCACCGAAGCTTATTTCATTGACAAGTTTTTTTTTTATAAATTTCATTAATTTTAGCTCTAATTCTAACCTAACTCTAAAGATATTGACAAGAATTACTTTGTCTGTAAAATGAACTTTGATGAAATAAACTGTCAGTGAAATGAATCTGTCAGTAGTAATTGTTAGTGAAATAGAGAGTCTCGAAGTAATTGTTGGTTAGTTGATCAAATCCTGTATTTTAGAATGTCTAGAAGGAATACTTTTAATAACTATTAAAGGTTTAAGTATTTTGATATACTTATCAGTATTGGCAATAACCTAAGTCATAACATGCTTCTGATATAATCTCATAAGCAGACATTCGTATGATTGGATGTTTAAATCAATTTAATTTTACATTATTTATACAGTTTAAAGTACTTTTTAAAAAAACGAAAACTACAAAGAATAAACAAAAAAGAAGTATATAGAAGGTTTTATTAAAGTTGTAGGACTCCATTATTAAGAATAATCAAACTTCTTTTTGTTTTAGAGAAGTTAGCATAATAGCAACTTTTTAAAATTAGGTTATCACCATACTAACTTCTCTAAAACAAAAAAGAATTTTGATTATTTTTCTATATACTTCTTTTTTGTTTATTCTTCATAGTTTTCTTTTTTTTTTTAAAAAGTACTTTAAACTGTATAAATTAAATTGATTTAAATAGCCAATCATATGAATGTCTGCCTATGAGATATAACCTTGGTTATAACTTTTTGATCGTATTAAAGAATTTCTTTAATATGATTTTTACTATATCAAAAGGTTATAAAGTCATATCAACCTTATAATCAAATAATTAATAGGTCATCAGTCAATACTATTTCTCCTATGCTCAAGTAACGATATGTATTTAGAGAATGTAAGAAAGTCTATTTTCTAGAAGTTAAATATTATGTCTTGGTGAAGTTTAAAGTTTATATTTAAAAAATAATGCATTAATAAGATTGTATTTAGGAGTTTCAACTATATACTTACGTTGACTCCAATAGCAAATATTCTTCTATATCTAATGGTTACCATAGTTAGAATTTTTGTAAAGTATTTTCTAGGTCCTGATAAAATGTTTGAAGATATAGCTTTATCCAATTATTTGCTTGATGGATTTTTAATGATATAGCTTGTTCAACATTCCTAACAAAAACTTCACTTGCATGATTGTCTGCAATTATTTCTTGTTGCTGTAGCAAGTACTTTATATAGTTAGAAGCAACAACGATAAGCTCATCAAATGCCTCATTTAACCAGATAAAAGTTGATGTTCGCATCTATAAAGAAGTAAAAAAAGAAACAAGCACTTTACAATGAAAGTTGAGTTTATCTGCAACAAAAGATTTTCTAGCTTCTTTATATGATTCTGGATTTGTGTAGTTTAAAAACTTATATAAAATAGAGTAGGGATATAAAAGCTTCTTTCTTCTAATTTTTTATAATTATGCATATCTAGATACCAAAGCAACTCAGATAAGGAAATAATAAACTGTTTACCTTGATTATAGGCACATGTTTGCGTTAACTAGCCACTATTATGAAATTTAATCTAGTCAACTATGTTTAGCCACAATTGTTGTTTACAATTTGGGTTTGCTGAATATACAAGCTTAGGAATATAAGTTTGTTGCTATTTTGTTTTGCAGATTGTATAAGGATATCTAATCCATTTTGATAATTACAAGATACTATTTCTTCATGTTCATACAAATGATAATGAAGATTTGTTCTAAATATATTGGTAAGCTCAACAATGTTGCAATCAGAGCTTGTTGGCATAGCTTCAGTTGGATTTACTAATTTATTTATTTCAATAGATTTAACTTCTTCGAAATCTAAGTGTGGTACTGAGATTTCCTGAGTGATTTTTTAAAAAAATTCTTTTACTGATATTTTATGAGTAATTGGATGAATATACCATCTGTACAAGATTTTTAAACCTCACGAAATTCGTATGTTTACAAGAGGCATTTGAAATTTTGTTAACAGATAAGTGATAAATCTTGAGCTTTTAAAAATTTTAATTTATTTAGATAAAAAAAGCTTTGTTTAAATGTATTTTAACTTTACAATTTTTAGTAATTTACTACTTTACTTAAAATAAATCATTTATGATATATCTTCTAATAACAGTCTTATAATTTCAGTTGTGAAGTCGCGTGTTCCCAATTTATTTATGACTTATTTGGGCTTAGATTTCGAGAAAGAACTATGGAAAATAAAATGGTTTCTATTTTGGGAGATGATTATAATAGGGTTTACCAAATTCGATCTTGGGCTAAGTATTGAGCAATAGCTATATAAAGAACAATAGCAAGAAGAAAAGAATGAAAAATCAAAACCCCAACAAAGTTCTGCATAATGCATTGGTTTTATCTATAAGATATATTACATATCTATCTATTTTATTTGCAAAATGATGCATTTTTGATTAAATTTCGCTGATTGCAGCTTATATATACAATAACCTAATTGTTGTCCGATTAAGCGAAGTTTTTTTTTTGAGAATAGTGTTATTTTGTAGTTATAAATATAATAAAGTCATAACTTACAATTTATTAAGAAAATCACTTTACAATCGCACAATTGAATGACAATCAAGTAATTGTATATATAAACAAAGTTTGATCAAAGATACATCATTTTGCAAAAGGCAATAATCTATTCTTAATATTCGGTTTAATTTATAGGATTGCTTATTTTAGTTTTTGGATAGCTACTATCTTAGGTTTAAAATATATATATATCACTATGCATCTTTGGTGAATATTGTAATTTTTGGCAAATTGTACCTGGTTTTATATTTATATTGCAAAATCTGTTGAGACTAAATCATATTAAAAGTGTATGTTTAAAAGTCAAAAGCACTATTAGAAGTCGAATTCCAAGGCATTAATAGACACTTTCAAGCATTAAATTAAATACGATAGAACCCCGGACATCTCTCATATAGGTTATAACTGATCTGCATAAATTTTTGGGGTTTTCGCTACCTCTAAAATCAAGTAAATTTGCTAAAAACTCAATATGACATATAAATTTTATAGTAATTCGCTAGAAATTAAATTATCATATCTAGATTTATTAAAAATATTTTGGATTGTAAATTGATGAAATGAAATAAGCATGGGTCTTGTATATGCACATTTACAGTTTATATAATTGCTATATATTTAAAAATCTAATTATTTATTTATCATGCGCTACATTCGGGTAGACTCTCTAAATGCACCATCTCTATACTTCTACACATCGCATTGCTAAATTTTAGTCTCTATAGGTGCATTTCGAGAGGTATAACTGTGTTAGATTAGAATTATTTTAATTTGACAAAGATAATAACTAAATATAAAGTAATAACTTAATATAATTATATCCCAGATTCAAAGCTAAGTTGGTAAGGTATGATTTTTTGACATGTAAGTAGTAGCACAAAAATATATGTACCTGATAACTAATACTAAATAGAAAAATTCAAAAAAAAATTTTTTTGCCAATATCGTATATATAACTATCGGCTTACGATCTATTAGGTCTTCTAAATGCCTCTTAAATTAAGTATAATAACAATCGTTTAATAATTATATATAAAAAATTCAAAAATACATATATTATACGAAGTTAATTTTGTGGGTTTCATATTATGAAACAAACTCGGGCTAACTAGTTTTTTTTAATTTTAACAAAAAATTTTCTAATATTTCAAATTTTGAACTAGCCTAGTTATAAAATCAACAATTAATTTTGTATAGCTTAATAGTGAAACGTACTGCCTAAGAAATCTTTAAAATCAATCATTTCATCTTTACCCATCAAGATTTTTAATCCAAAATTAGATGATGGTAAAAATGGTAAACATTGTACCTGAATAAATAAATGTATCAACATAAGACTTATGATAATACTTATAAAGATTACTTACCTTGAACACAATTCTTTGTTCCATAATATGTCTTAGTGAAACATGAATACTGTAGAGTTTTTTTTGCATTGTAAGTTTCAATACTTCTTTTCACTATTATATAAATATAATAATCTAAATAGTTGATTAACCAAAAATTTTAACAATAAAATAATTTCTAACCTGTTTAGGCCTATTTTTGACCAGTAAAATCTCAGTTGCCATAGAACCATGAACAATATTAGAGTTCACAGTAGCAACCTCTGCTTTAATGGTTGAATCTATTGAAAAAACTTTATCAAAGAACTTAGTTTCCTGTAGATATAATAAAATTAGCTTATTCCTGTGTTTAATGATAATGTACAGTACATAAGTTTTAAGATAAAAAAATCTTCAATACTATTTTACTCTTAAATTAACTTGTCTAAAGGACTATAGGTTAACAATAATTAAATGCCAGATAAATCTAATAACAGTTGGATTCATCTAACACTTGAACTTATAGAATTGATTGGTCGGTCATAATAATAATAATTTGCTATAAAATTATAGGATAGTAGACCTACTAATAAAATGTCTCCTTTTTCTTAACAAATAATCTTTTAAACAACATAGCCCGAGTATGTATGCATGAATTCCTGTTTGATTGCCTAAAAATAGCTAAGTAAAATTTAGTTAAATAATTTACATAATCTTAAGAATTATTTTATTAATCAGAACTTATACT